TAAACAGGATTGTGGGTGAATGGAAGGGGGGGCCTTTTAGGTAGTTTTCAGATCTTTCAGTTGGTGTGTGTGTGGGGGGGTGTCTACAAAGCTCTCAGATACAGAGTTATTTAATCAGTACGTTTTATTCCCACCCTTCCTCCACGGAACATCATTCTCCTTACTGCCGTTGCATGTTCACAACAGCCCTGTGAGGTGGCTTAGGCAGAGACCGAGAGAGAGAGATCTCCCATCAAGCTTCCCTGGCGGGGGGCGGGGATTCAAAGCCATGTCTCCGGGCTCCAGCCACTGCCCCACCACGCTAGTTTAAATTGCAACAAGAGCCCCCCCCCGGTCAAGATTTTTTCCCCCTTTACCCCCGCCACAACTGCCTTTGTCCCTGGCAGTCACCCCGGGCCCACTTTGGTCCCTTTGGCAGGCGTCACCTGGGACAGGGCACCCTGAAAGAAGTGTCACTTTGGGCCTGGAACCCAGGAGCCACCCAGAACCAGGAGTGCAGAGAATGGGTCAGGCAAGAGAACTTGGGCCTTTTCTCCCTCCAGCTCAGTAAGACTCGCCACCCACCCACCCACACACCCACCCACGCGGAATCGGAGACCTTGGTGCTGGAAGTGCTGAGGGCTGCCTTTGGGGTCCCAGGCACACACACTCTCTCCCTCTCCCCCTCTCCTGGGAGGGAGGGCACAGTACCAGAGGGATCCGCTGGGCCCAGTGCCTGTCCCTCTTGCCCTGGAGGCTCTCTTTGTGCGTGAAAAGATGAGGTCTCTCGGTTAAGGAGCTTACCTCATCCATTAGATCTAATTTAGCCTGTCTGGATTTGCCATTTGGTCTGCAGCTTCCCGCAGATCTGATTAGACACGAGAGCCATCCTGGACGAAACCCAAGCTGAGCTTTGTAGCCGGAGGCAAGTGGCCACCTTCAAGGCGGAGAAGGTGTCGGAGGTCTGGGGTGGAGCCAGAGCTCTGTGGCCGCCGAGCAGAGTGATCCGGGATGCGCACACACACACACTTCCTTCATCCCCCACCCTACAAACCCTTGTGTTTGTTACCAGCTTTCCCCTGCAGTTCAGCCACCTGTGCGGTGAAGAGTTTCACATAACCTGTGAGTGTGCGTCCTCAGCACCAGGAGAACATGCAAACCTAAGAAGAGCCCAGCTGGATCCGACCCAAGGCCCATCAAGCCCAGCATCCTGTTCACACAGTGGCCAGCCAGCCACCTCCAGGAAGCCCTCAAACCGGAGGTCTGCAAGAGCATCTCATGCCTGTACTCCCCAGCCAGCCACCGATACAAAGAGGCCTGCTCCCTCTGGGCCTGCAAGGAGTGCAGGGGGTTGGACTAGATGACCTGCAAGGTCCCTTCCAACTCTAACATTCTATGATTCTAGGAGCCCCCTCCTCCTCTGCCCACTCCCCTTTTAAAGCCTTCCAAGTTGGCGACCTTGGCCACATCCTGTGGCAGCGAGTTCAACAATCTGTGTGAAGGACTTCCTTTCCTCTGTCCTTCATCTTTGTTGGATGACCCCGTGTTCTAGTATTAAAGTAAAGGTAAAGGTTCCCTTGCTCGAAAGCCAATCAAATCCGACTCTAGAGTTGCGGTGCTCATCTCCGTTTCAAAGCCGAAGAGCCAGCGCTGTCCGAAGACGTTTCCGTGGTCATGTGGCCGGCATGACTAAACACCAAGGCGCACGGAATGCTGTTACCTTCCCAACGAAGTGGTACCTATTGATCTACTTGCAATTTCTTGCTTTCGAACTGTTCGGTTGGCAGGAGGTGCAACTAGAGACGGGAGCTCACTCCATCATGCGGCATCCAGGTCTCGAACTGCTGAACTACTGACCTTCCACAGCCTGCAGTTCAGCGTCTTAACCACTTGAGCCACCGCAGCTCCATTGTTCTAGTATTAGGGGGCTGTTATTGCCACTCTCTCCACACATCATGCATGACTTCATAGACCTCAATCATGTCTGTAACGACAAGGGCTCAAAGAGCCAGCCACCAGGTGGCGCCACCTCCTCACCACTGACTGAACGACTGACTGTGACCCTCCAGAGAGCTCACCCACCACAGGGCTTCCTGCGGGGTGGGGGCAGGAAGGGCTGTATGCTGAAGGTGTGCTGAGAGGCAGGAGGGAGGATGGCGGGTGCATCTCGCAGGGCCAAGGGGTGGGAGAGGGATGGGAGCTGATTTGGAGGAGGCAGGGGCCAGGGAGGCCACCCCCCCTCCAGAGCAGGGGATGGGTAGGAAGAGACGGGTAGAGTTTGTTACACTTGAATCCCCCACGGAAAAGCCCAGGCCTTTGGCATCTTGCTCACTCTTGGCTTCCACCAAGCAGTTGTCGAGTTTTGCGCTGTTTGTTTTGTTTTTCAGAAGGCAGCGTCATCTCCGAAAGCAGGCGGGGTGCATGGCACCAGAGGAGCTCTCCCGCCTTCTCTGCCTCTGGCTGTTTAGCAGCCTACAGGAAGCAGCTAATGGAAAAAGCCTTTGGGGCACACAAGATGAGCAAGGGCTGTTTTAGAATCCCCCCCCCCCCCCGCGCGCCCCC